CCTTCTATTCTTGAGATGTGTGAAATATTATTTTTTGTGCTAACACTTAAGAGGCAGCATTTAGCAAAAAAAAAAGAAAGAACACTAGAGAGGCAGTAGAGCGAGATGAGCACGACGTGGAAGTGGAACGTTGCAATGTTGATTGTAGCCTTGGTGGTTGTGTGGATCAGCCATTGGCTTTACCGTTGGTCAAACCCCAAGTGCAATGGCAAGTTGCCACCCGGATCGATGGGCTTTCCGATAATTGGAGAGACAGTTGATTTCTTTGAGCCTTGTGGATTCAACGAGGTCCCATCCTTTATAAAGAAGAGGATGATAAGGTTAATAATTAATACTTCAAATCTTTTTGTAGTTATATATTGCTTTTAAAACGGGAAGAACGTCGGTCCATTGTATATATATATATATCTAAATTTGCGTTTTGAATTGGATGATTCTTTCCAGGTATGGGCCGTTGTTTCGGACAAATCTTTTCGGTTCCAAAACGGTGGTTTCGACGGACCCGGATGTAAATTTCCAGATTTTCCGGCAAGACAACACGTCTTTCGAGCTAGGCTACCCGGACATATTTGTCACGGTATTTGGAAAAAATAATGTGTTTCTGAAGGATATTAGCATCCACAAATACCTAAAGAATTTGACTATGCAACTTCTTGGCCCTGAGGGTTTGAAGGGAACAATGATAAGTCATATGGACAGAGCGATCGGGGACCATTTCAAATTGAAGGCTAGCCAGGGGAGCTTCGATGTTAGGAAAGAAGTTGAAAGCGTAAGTAGTTTACTCATCTTAATTAATTTTAGTTTGTATGTTCGTTGACCATATTCAGATATAATTAAATAAACTCTTCCTTAATTTTTGCAGATGGTACTTTCGTACATGACACCGATCCTGTTAAGTAACCTCAAAGCAGAGACTCAATCAAAGTTCATACATAGCTTAGAGGCCTTTAACCTTGATTGGTTTCGATCCTTCTTAAGTCTCTCTACCTGGAAAGCTCTCATCAAAACCCTAAAGGTGACTTTATCTTTTAGTTTCACGGAGATTTCGATTTTCTATATTAGTAATTATATAACTAACTAATTTTTTTTTTTTTTTATATAGTCACGTAAAGAAGCGATTCAGGTTATTGAAGACGTTCTGAGGACGAGGAAAGAGTCTAAAGTAAAGGAAGGAGACTTCGTCAACACGATGCTGGAAGAAATGGAGAAAGAAGGTAGCTTTTTTAACCAAGGATCGGCAATAAACTTCCTCTTCATTCTCTCATTCGTCACAAGAGAAGGTACCTCTAGTTGCACTGCTGTGGTCGTGAAAAACATATTACAAAACCCGAAAGTGCTTGCATAACTCAAGGTAATATATAGCTATTATTTTAAGTATATGTATGGCTTTGAGTTGATAGGGTCTTATATAATGTGGCACAGCGTGAGCATAAGGCCATTGCTGGAGTACTTAGCTGGGAAAATTACAGGAAAAATATGACTTTCACCCACATGGTAATTCTCATCTATATATTCCGGATTTACCCTAGATAATGGGATATTCACAAGTTGAAATTATGACGTTCATCTCTAGGTTATCAATGAGTCGCTTCGACTGTTCAACACAAGCCCTTTAATGTTTAGGAAGGCGGTGAAGGATGATCAGATCAAAGGCAAGAACTACTTCAAATTTATATGTGTTTGTGTGTGAGAGAGTATACACACACCTTCTCTGAATCATTAAGCAAAGCTTTTATTGTGGGCAGGATATACAATTCCGGCGGGTTGGATTGTGGCGGTTGCACCTTCAGTGGTTCATTATGATCCTACAATCTATGAGAACCCTTTTGAGTTTAATCCATGGAGATGGGAGGTCTTGCACACTTACTCTCATTCAGCTGCATTTTTTCTCTTCATCATCTTT